TCATTCGTCTACTCATTTTCAACCACACATTTTTCAATAAAATAATATTTTTTATCACATCAATAATTTTTTTTTCTTTTTCAACCACACATTCTCCATCAATTTACTATTCCAAAATACATTCTTACTGGTGCACGATCCACTAGCCTATCCTGTTTCCTCCTGTATATGCAAATATACATTTTTAGACCTTCTATTAGGAGCTACAAAATAGAAGACAATTCTGAGAAAAAACTGAAGTTATGCATGGAAATAAAAGAAGAGGAACATCAAAATCAGATTTTTCGTAAATTCTTAATAAAAATTGATAAAATGTGTGATTGAAAAATTGTGAATCCTATGAAATCCGTATTTGGTGAAAATTAGAATCTAAATTTTAATCTGAGTTAAAGTGAACAATTAATTTCAACCATATACTTTATGAGGTCCACAACTTTTCGATCACACATTTCATCAATTTTTATAAAAAATTGTAATTGATGAGTCATTACAATTAATTTTAATTCTTACCAAATAATTGGAAAATATGTGATTAAAATTAATCGGCCGAAATCTTGATTTCTATTGTAATGACTCATCAATTTTACCTACCATTTACTGTTTGAGTCCCCATTGTAATGGATTTGTTCTTTTTATTAATGTTATTAAGATCATATTATATCGATTTTATAATATTGCTTTTTACCTTACTTTCTAGAAGGAGGATTTGGATTTCCCGGAAGTTAATATATTTTACTCTCTAGAAGACAAACTAGCGTTCTCATGTCTTGTCACAATTTATTTGGAGAAGATTCGATTCTTGAAATCCAAATGTGGGGCCCTTTGCAAGCCATCCATCAATTCATCGTGTCTTTTTGCCAAAGACCATTTCCTCCTCAATTTATTTTATTTATTTATTATTATTTATTTTATTTTATTTTTGGATAAAAGACTTAAAATGGACAATTGTATAACGGGTTTGTGTGAGGGGTAAAAAAAGTTCTAGCCATTGAACCGTCATCATCGACAATCTCACATAAAGCCCCAACGTGGTCTAACCCCACCAGCATGGCAAGATCCAACGCAGCTTCCATATGTCCAGCTCCTTTTAAAACACCACCCTCTCTGTACTTCAAAAGAAAAATGTGACTCGAACAGTTGAAATCCTTCGGCTTTGAGTCTTTCGATGCAAGAGCCAACACTGTTGTCACTCCATCATGTGCTGAGACTCCGGTTGTTGTACCATGTTTAGCATCCTAAAACAATGTTACGCTTACATAAATATGTCATATGACTGGCATTTATGTTGAATAAAAGATTTTGCTTCCACAAATATATCTTTTACTAATATATCTCATCAAAGTATTAAAATGATTACATATGTGGGCATCTATGCCTTCGCGTGTGTTTAAGAGCAATTTTGAGTTGTTGAACTTCAAAAAAATCATTACTTATGCAATTCTTATATGTGGAGCACATAGCTGATACATGTTATGGATTAGACACTAATTACAATGCCGAGACCAATAAAGAACAAAACAAAAATGCACACAGAGAAACATAGAGATTTATGGGGGGTTCAATCTAACCTTAATACGAGGGTTACATTCACTTGCGAGAGCAGATTTTGAGTAAAGTCGAGAAATTATAAGCTTTCAAGCATCTCCCAATCTATGCAGTAGAAAGTTTTTCCTCATTCTCCTTTGAGTTACCACCAATGAAAGCTGTAATATCTCCAAGTCTTCCTCTTTTATACTTGCACAAACAATTCCAGTCCCATGTTTCACAATGGAAGCCGTAGCCTCTGGAGTAACCTTGGACGCAGCCATTGTTATATTTCCTTCATTTTCTCTATCCTCATCGTCTACCACCACAACCATCTGCAATCTTAATCTAAATCATTAAAAAAAGTGGAAGAAAAATGATAGCTTAATAATTACTTTAGCATTCACTAAATTGAACAAATCAATCAAGCTTTCCGTTTCGAATATCTTCAATGGCCTCTGGAATAGAAGAGAAACCTTCTGTCGGCTGATCCAAATTATTGCAAAAGGGGAATTGTTGAGAGAGAAATGTTATTCAACTCAATTGATTGATGAATGAATATACAGGCAGTATATATACATCTCTGAGCAAAAAGAGGGAAGAAGAAATAGGAGAGAGAATTAATTACAACTAAAATTGACAAACTACAAATATCTAAGCTCCAAAATTGTCACAGCCATGTGATCGTTTGACAGCCAATTCCAACTATTCATTGGCTTTGATACTCCCCCTCACGATGGACTATGAAGATTCATTATAGCCATCTTGGACAGCAAATGGAGTAGAACAGGCACCGATAAAGGCTTTGTGAAAATGTCTGCAAGCTGATGATTTGTTCGAACTGGCAGGAGTTTGATTGTTCCTTCATTGATCTTGTCTCTTACAAAATGACAATCTATTTCTATATGCTTAGTGCGTTCGTGAAATATAGGATTAGTAGCTATATGGACAGCCGCCTGATTGTCACAGAAAATCAAAGTAGGTTCCTTGATCTCCACCTGAAAGTCATGAAGCAGTTTTTGAATCCATACAAGTTCACTGGCTGTAGAAGCCAAAGCTCGGTACTTAGCCTCTGCAGATGATCTTGATATGGTGGTATGTTTCTTTACCTTCCAAGATACCATCAAATCCCCAAGAAATACACAGAACCCAGTGACAGATTTTCTTGAGTCTAAAGATGCACCACAATCAGCATCAGCATAAGCACGCAACTGAAGAAGTGAACCAGTTGAAAACAGGAGACCCTGGCCTGGGGTTGCTTTGATGTATTGTAGCAAATGATGGACTGCAGTTAAATGAGGCTTTCTGGGTTGTGAGACGAATTGACTCGGCTTATGAACTGCAAATGTAATGTCTGGCCTGGATACAGTTAAGTATAATAAACGCCCAATTAACCTCCTATACATAGAGGCATCTTCAAATAACTCCCCCTCAAAAGAGTTTAGACGAACTTTGGGTCCGTTGGTACCACAACAAGCTTGCAACCTAAGAGCCATGTGTCATGTAGTAGCTGAAGAGCATAGTTCCTATGTGATAGGACAATACCACGCTGTGATCTTGCAATTTCTAACCCAAGGAAAAACTTGAGGTTACCAAGATCTTTAAATTTAAAATGATTGAAAAGAAAAGCTTTTAAATCATCAATAATTCTAGAATCTGATCATGTGATGACTACGTCATCAACATACACCAATAGAGCTACAAATGTATTTTTCAGATCCCTTTGTGAAAAGAAAATAGTCAGATCGCGACTAATGAAAGCCATGAAGTAGAAGGGCATGTGAAAACTTTGAAAACTACTGACGGGAGGCCTGCTTTAAACCATAGATGGATTTATGCAGCCTACAAACCAAACGCTCCCCCTGTTTGCCAGAAGAATTTGAAGGGTTATATCCCAGAGGCAAGTCCATGTAAATTTCCTCAAAAAGATCACCATGAAGGAAATCATTGTTCACATTTAATTGAATGAGAAGCCAGTTATTCATGGCTGCAATAGCTAACGAGAGTTTCACTGTTACCATCTTGGAAACTGGAGAAAATGTTTCCAAGAAGTCTAGCCCCTCTTGCTGAGTAAATCCTTTTGCAACTAAGCGTGCTTTGTAGCGTTCAACACTCCCATCAGATCTGTACTTGGTTTTATATACCCATTTGCAGCCTATAGTATGCTTTCCTTTGGGTAGTGCAGTGATGGACCAAGTCTTGTTTATTTCTATAGCACTAAATTTAGTAGCCATGGCCTCTCTCTAATGAGGCTCTTGTACTGCTTGATGGTAGAATTGTTGTTCAAGAGTTGATGATATGTTCAAGATGATGTTTTTATGAGAAGCAGAAAGTTTCGAATAAGAAATATAGTGATGTAAAGGATAATGATGAGAGGATGGAATGATAGAAGATGAAGAATTGGATAAGAGATTACAACGAAATTCCTGCAGATAAGAGGGGATTTTGCTAGTTCTTAGAGACCTTCTGAGAGTAGGAGCAAGATCTGAAGTATCAGTAGGAACAAGAGGATTATGTGACATATCATGAAAGGTATAGCTTTAAGTATCAGTATAATCAATATTTTGGGATGATATATCATCATGAATGGATATATCATTGCTCAGGTTAGTTGGAGAAACATCAGTAGGAAGTATATCAGCAGGCATAGCAATGACATGATTAGGTAATACAAGGTTGGGAAAAGAGTCAATAAATTCAGAGGATTTTGAGGCAGAGTGAAAAGAAAAGATATGTTCATGGAAAATCACACCTCTAGATATAAAAATTGTTTTGGAAATGACATCATATAGTCTATATCCTTTTATACCAGGATGATAACCAATGAAAACACATGATTTAGCTCGAGCATGGAATTTCAGACGATGAGAGGTGATGGTAGATGCAAAGTATAGACTCCCTTAGAAAGTTGTAATCTACTAGTATATGATACAGCAGAGTGAACGGTGGTTTATTTTGAAGGATAGGAAAAGGGGTATGATTTATGAAGTAAGTAGCTGTTAAAACACAATGTCCCTAGAAAGAGATAGGAACTCGTGACTAGAAGAATAGGGCTCTTGCTACGTTAAGCAAATGCTGATGCTTACGTTCAACAACTGAGTTCCGTTCAAGACATTCAGGACAAGAAAATTGGTGAAGTACCCCCTTGTTACTGAAAAATTCGATGAATCTCAATTCAAGTGTATTATCAGACCTAAAGGCTTCAATAGTTTTGTGAAACTGAGTCTCAACAAGACTAAAAAACTTGGGAATGACATTAAGAACATCAAACTTCTGCTTCATCAGATAGACCCAAGTAAATCTAGAACAATCGTCAACAATAGCAAGAAAAAATTTATGGCCATCACGAGTGGGAGAACTATATGGACCCCATACATTACAATGGATAAGATCAAAGGGTTCAGCTGATAAGTGATTGTTTGAAGCAAAAGACAAATGCCTTTGTTTAGCTAATGGACAAATATAACAAGGAGCAAAGCTATTTTTGTTACTTGTGAAATGTAACTGATCCTTCAACATTTCCAATCTCTTAAAAGACAAATGTCCCAATCTATGGTGCCAAACATCAGAGGTCACCTTATTTATTACAGAACAAATGTGACTAACAGACTTAAAGGAATTACAATCAACTTTCACTACATCAGTTTCAGCATTAATGATGTAAAGTCCATTGACCATATCAGCCTTGCCAATCATCCTCCAACTGCACAGATCCTGAATAACATAATAATCAGTGAAAAATCTGACACTTATATCTGAGTCCTTGATCAAATAGCTAATAGATAACGGATTAAACTTGAACTGAGGTACAAACGGCACATCTTGAAGAATCAATTCAGAATTGAGCTCAACATTACCAATAAACTGAACAGATATTATGATGTTATTAGGCAATCTGATATAGACACCTTGTACTGCTTTTAATGTTTTGAAAGACTCTCGATTGAAATAAACATGGCTAGTTGCCCCGGAGTCTATAACCCAGTGTTTAGCAAAATTGAGTATCTCATTACTCAAAATAGATAAGCATATACCTGATACATTATCTGATTTTGCAGGTTCATCTCCTAATTTTGCAGCAGCAAGATGTGTGCTCAACGTATTCATCATGTGTTTGTACTGGCCAGGATTCAAGGTTTGTACATTATCAGCAGATTGGCCTGTAAATGAATCAGAAATTTGGTTAGTCACAGCATTTGACTTATAACCAGATTGATTACTCCTTTGAATAGCTTTGTATCGAGGTGGATAACCATGAAATTTATAGCATTTGTCGACTACATGGGCTCCATATCCACAATAGGTGCAAATAGGTCTATCCCTCTTCTGATTTTTGTTATAGGATTGTCCCAATGTTGGCTTTCTATTATCAGTTTTGGCATAAAAGGCCAAGGAATCAATCGTTCCAGTAGACAAATTCACGCCCCTTTGTTGTTCCTCTTGTGAGATCAGAGAAAACACTTTATTGATTGGATCCTATCCCATTAGGAAAGACATAATATATTCCATATGGTAATGCTCCATTAACTTCTTGTTTCCCTCACAGGTACACTTTCCACATGAGCAAGAAGGTCTGTAATTGCTAAGCTCTTCCCATATCGTTTTCAGTTTAGTGAAATAAACACTAACTGACATTTGTCCCTGCGTATGATTCATCAAGCCACGCCTTAACTGAAAGATCTGATGACCATTCCTATGTTGAAATCGCTCCTTCAGATTAGTCCAGATTTCATGTGCAGACTTAGGGTAAATTATGCCTGCTGAAATATCTTTTGATACCGAATTGAGGATCCATGAGATAACCATATTATTATTGCAGATCCACGAATTGAGAAGCTCAGAATTGTTTTCAGGCCGAGTGATAGAACCATTTATGAAACCAACCTTGTTCTTCACTGATAATGCTATGAACATAGCACGACTCCATGAAATGTAATTCTCACCAGTCAGCTGCTGTGAGACAAGTATGAGACCAGGATTGTCAGAATGATGGAAAAAATACGGATTAGAACCATCTTCAGTGGCGAAATAGCTCATCGAAGATGTCGAAATCTGAATTGGATCAGTTCCATGATTAATCACCAAAAAAGAAAAACAACGCGAAGCTAAGAAGCAATTTGCTCTGATACCATATTTCAAAAGGGGAATTGTTGAGAGAGAAATGTTATTCAACTCAATTGATTGATGAATGAATATATAGACAATATAAATACAGCCTTGAGCAAAAGGTGGGAAGAATAAATAGGCGGGAAAATTAGTTACAACTAAAATTGACAAACTAAAAATATCTAAGCTCCAAAATCATCACAACTATGTGATCGTTTGACAGCCAATTCCAGCTTGGATGATCCATTGGCTTTGATACAAATCAAAATCTTCATTTTCTATGGGGAAGCCGCTAGTTACTAGTAGTTGGAGTCATATCCTCAGAAAAGGCTCCAGAAGCCACCGAATCGGATTGTACCTTAACTCGACCAGACACATTGCTGATGAGATCATTACTTGCAACATTGTTGCTGCTTGAATGGGAGTGAAGGCCACCTTCCCCTGATGACAACACAGATTTAATTCTTCCATTAGCCTTGATTCTGAAGCCCGCCCACATGACTGGCTGATCAAAGGACTCTAACAACCAATCATTAACAGAATATAGATTTCCATAATGCAGTCCGTTGAATAGTCCAACATTTTTAAAAGCCATGCATATACATAAGGTCAATTACAAGTTAAATCCACTCAAGGTTCANTGCATATACATAAGGTCAATTACAATTCACGGGCATCAGCATAGAACTCAGAATCGAACCTCTCTGAACAGCGTTGTTCATATAGTACTGACGCCCCGACATTCTTATATAAGCTAAGAACACAAGAAACAACTGCTGCAATGACGTGCAGTAATAAGAGTTTTCTTGAATGAGTAGATATTAGAATTTTTTGCTTCCAATATAATAACAAGAAATGAAGTCATTCGAAAATTAACAAGTTTCCTATAATCATTCAAACCCCGGTTAATACAATTCATAGTAGAAGAGCTTAAAAGTGTGTTTTTTATTACCAAATATATAAGCTTTTGAGTTTTCCCAGAAACAATTTTCATTTTACCACATAGATAGACCCCATCATCAACTCACAGATATCCCATCAAGACAATCAATTTACAAATGCCAATTACTTAAAACAGTACTTCCATAAATGCCTGTAGGCGATTAAGCAACGGAAGCACATAAGAACATCAATACAGAAACAATATCCCATCAAACTAAGAACCGAATTCTATTTCATTTTGGGCTCAGAAATTCATTGCACCCTTCTGTNCAATATCTTTGGTGTTTTTAGCAACTTTATAACCTAAAACATATTTTACTTTTTAAAAAGATGTTTGGCTACTTTTATTTCAAATTTTAACTCCAAACTCCAAAGATAAACAGGCAGGTTCATGAGAGATTCAAAGTGCCATCTTTGATGATTTTCAAGTTTCTTGTAGGACGAAAACTGGTCAGAATGGTTTAGCAATGGCCTTGGAAGTTTCAAGTTCTCCATCTCCTCTTGGAGGATTTGAAAATGGTAAGTGGTCATA